TCGTGTCAAAATTCTGGTCTCGTGTCAAAATTTCGTGCTCGTGTCAAAATTCCTGACACACGTGGGACCCATGAGTTAACGTCCCGCGATCTCAACCAGCTAGAACGCTCCTCCTCCTTCGTTCCTTGCCTATGCTGCCGTCATTCCTGTGCCTCACGCAAACGACATGGTGGATTCAACAACCCAAGCCGAGTTTGCTCCATATGCCCTTGTCGGCTCAGAGGTCAACGACAGATGTTTCTTCGCATTGGCGCGAAAACGCACTGCTCGCGATAATCTACGCCACGCCTCGTCGCTGTCGGCAACCAGAACACTATCCCCTGCTTCGACTCAATACCATCCGACGGTAGCATGTGCTGTGCTCGATACCAACACGTCATACTCCAGGGGGAAACAAGGCCATGCAATAGTAGATGGCGGTTCCTGTCCGTACATATATCACCAAACCATGACCTCTTGAGTCGAGGTGTCCCTCGCAGTCTTCCCAGCCAGCTGTCGCCGTCGTCGTCGTTTGTCGTGGGCTCTTCCTTTCTTCCTGCTAACGCTGACACGGCTGGCGTGGCAAACCTACAACCACTTTCACGTATCATTCTTGTCCGATAGCTGCTCAAATTGTAGGAGACCATCGTCGTCATCTTCCTCCTCGTTATCATCATCGCTACATACCATCGCTGCTGCTACTGCTGTCCTCCCCGCTTTCCATGTCGCTGCCCCTGCTGGAATCGTCAGCGTCCGTTCGTTTCTCGTCGCGGTGAAACCTGCGCGATCGGGAAGCAACAAGTGTCCCGGCGAGAACAAGAAAAAATAGCGGCGTTGTACTTCGGGTCCTTTTTATTTTCGTATTCTTTTTTAGGTTAGTTCGTCTGTGATCACAGGAACCGACCGCGTCATGTAGTAGACTTGTACGGACAGAAGAAGGTACTGGCTAGAGAGAACGGGACGGTTTTTAATGTGAAGGCAACAACAACAACAACAACAACAACAACAACAACAACAACAACAACAACAACAACAACAACAACAACAACAACAACAACAACAACAACAACAACAACAACAACAACAACAACAGCAACAGCAACAACAACAACAACAGTACACAGATTTCGGTCAAGCGGCCTCGGTCGGGACTTGCGTGCACGCTCGGCTCTCTTGCAGGCATGCGCATCATTCGCGGGCTTCAAAAGAACTTAGCGGGTGTCCACCAGTGCCCCATGTCTACTTGTCCTGTCTGGTGGGTCATTTCGCGGTCCCCGTGAGCAGCAGTAGCGCCTACTTTCATGTCCCGTTGAGAAGCACGGTGACCGCTAGACTACCAGTCTGCCATGGTCCCTCTCAGCGTGTCCTACGTACGTTGTTTGCTCTGGGATCTTGACGGCTTAGTTAGGGTTAGGGGGGGTGGGGCATCCATCAAACCTGTCAAAACTACACGGATCGCTTGATCTATGTAGGTCGGGGTACAGTCTTTTCCCAAGATCTCAACAGCCTGAGGGAAAAGATCATTCAAACCAATACGGATACACCAGAATCATCGTTGGGCGCATGTTGGCAGTCTACATCTTCCACAAGAGCCAACCAACCGCAAAGCAGGGGGGGGGGGGGCATCGACATCCCACATGTGTTCGCTTCAGGGTATTTAGTGTGGTCCTCTGAGATGGGGAAGACGCATTGGTCCATTACGTCTCCTCAAAGTTGCATCTCCGCTGCTGTCGGGATCAACAAAGTCCTGCCATTTCAGCACCACTTTGGACAAAAGCCTTCACCTGGTTATTCTATTAAAGAAAAACATAATGGATAACTTAGTAGGGTTAGGGTTAGGGTTAGGGTTAGGGTTAGCAATCGGGGAAGGTGGGCTAGGGTTGGTTGGGGATAGGGTCTGCCTACCCCCTCCCTGTTCTATATCCTCATGAAACTTAATTTCCCAACTCCATCCTCGAATACCAAGCACTGCTGTGCCAGAGCAACCTGAGACTGCGACCTCACTGTAGCGTGGCCTGCTTGCCCTTCCTCATCGTCTTTTCGAACACCATCGGGGAGCCGCATATGTCGCAAGCACCCTTTCCCGTTGCCGGCACATCTTGGAAAACACGCACCCCGAGTGCGCCTTCGGAAGCACCGTGCATCAGCACCTCCAGCTCAAGACGCCGAACCTGGTCGTGCCGATGTTGTTCAGAAGGGGCTCTAGACAGATGAAGCAGTCACCAACCAGTTCGGCGAAGTTGTCGACCTTCGCTACGAAAGCTGCAACCTGCGCAGCGAGCATGTGGGCAGCGGTACGGGTCGCTTTATCTCGCAAGGGGATGGATGATGGCGAGGAGGCGGCGCAGCAAAAACTGTGTGTGTTGCTGTGAGCGAACTTAGCTTGCGTGCATCGAGGCAAGAGAGACATAGACTATATCGCGCATCTTGGACATTACCTGAATTCTGTGTAGCAATGGGGCCATGATCTACGCGGATGCAACTATTTTTGCGGTCGAGCAGGTAGACTAGACTACTGTATGTATGTTTCACAAGAAGGGTGCAGCTTGGACCAAAGATGGCAATTGACAGCTTTTTGTCATAGCTGTCAAGCTGTCAAGGTGTCTGTCGAGGCATTTGGCGTCGTCATGACAGAACGTCCCCTATCCCGGATAGAAGAATGCCAGCAATATCTGTACAGAAAATCCTAATATTTCACCTCCGCCTTCGGTATGCCGACTGCTGATGGCAAGCAAGTGTCCTGCCAACGCCTAGATGTTAGCAGGCAACACCCAAACCAATAACACTTGAGATAAGAGATGAAAAGTGCCCAAGTACCTCAAAACAAGAGTTTGGGGACATTTTCCAATAACATTCGAGACGTTTCCAAGAAACGGGGACATTTCGTCGTGCCCCCTGCTTTTGGCTGGGTCAAGGCTGTCTGTCGAGCAGTTTGAGGGATTTCTGTCCGTCAAGGGAGTAAAAGGCTGTCAACTGCCATCTTGGCTCGGACAGACAGTAGTTGGGCGCGTGAACGGTATTACGCCGCAGGAAGCACAACGAAGCAGGGCATGTGGTGATGCGTGTGAGATGCAGGACGCGACCGTACCGTTGCACAAGAGACTTTGTGTCGCGTACGGCATACTTCTTTGTGTTGCGATCGGGCCACTGCTGCATTGCTGGGGGGAGGAGTACTTGGCGACCAGCCCAAGTTGGACCGGATATTCAAACTACACTATATTACACAGTAGTAGTACATAGTCTACAAGTCCTCCGGTACTGTTGCAACACAACCCCTTGGAATCAAGGGGCACGTTGGGCACACCGTTTTGCCGTCCTCGAGCTTGGTTTTTTCCAGCGCAGTGGCGGCCTTGCTGAGTTTTCTAAGCTCGTCCGGCCACATGCGCTTTAACGAACGCATGGCTTGATCGCTCGCGCCCTCCTCGGCAGAAACAACACCCTCTGGAACGAGCTTTGACGATCCGGCTCGTTCAGACGAATGCATTAAGGTCCGGTCTCAGTTTTTGTTTTTTTCACTTTTTTCATTTTTCGCCAACCAAAGGGGGCACAAATACTGCATTTATTAATTTTTACCACTCGCGAGGGGTGGTAAATATAAAAAAAGTGAAAAAAAAACTGTGAACGGACCTTTAATGATGTATCTCCGCGGCGCATCCAGTCCGTTTTCCAGTTTTCTCCCTTTCTTGGCTAGAGGGGGGGTGCTTCTTCAGTGGAAGGGAAGAAGGTGGTGTGGCCACACCAAGGATGGAGGAGAGACTTGCAAGAGGAGAGTCAAGATAAGAAGCAAGCAGGGTCGAGGGGGCACACAGACAGGCAGGGTAGAGGGGCACTGCCCACCGCGGCCGAAGGGATACCTTAAAAATTACACTGAAAAATTAGGCGCAGTGGCGAAGTATCCCTTTGACCGCGGCAACCCGCCCCGTTTTTTTGGAATGACAAAAATCCATCATCCACTGATCAAATGAAAGAGTCCAGGATGGTTTAGCAACGAAAAGTTCAAGCGTTTTCAAACAAGAGACAATGAATGGTGTGGTGTCCCATTCATTTGTCCATTGTTTCCTCGCTGGTGTTGTCGGCATGCTATGTATAGTCTACTGCCGAACTTTGTCCGTTCGGGCAAATAGTCACAATCAATCTTGTTTTTCGCGATAAAAAAACGATTTGGAAAGTGAAACAACTTTGGCCGTGACCGCGGCGTCGAGCTTCGTCCATATCCGATGAGTTTTTGGTGACTGGGTGAAATGCGACATTTTCGGCTAAAATGACCCACGGGACCCCCATCCCCCTCATGACCCCACGGAGCCCCCAAAGTACACCAGGAACCCCCCAAACCCCTCCCTGTTGCACGTATTTGCCTTCATAACATCAGTTAAACCGTTGTCAGCCCATATCTATCTACATTATTCACACGTTACATACCATACCGCCGTAACTCTCTGCCCAACCCTTGCCTGGTGAAGCTGCTGTAATCCAAAGCATGCATCAATCAGCACATCCGTTCTCTCTAACCAAGTACGACACCAAGAGATACAGCCAAAGCGTTGAGTTGGTCACCATGACGAAGGCCTCTACCGCGCCTAAACGCGAGAAACCAACAGTACAACACACCGCGACACATAAATCATATTTACATTGCCCACAACAGGGTCCGCAGGGGGGGACGGGGCCTCCCGAATCGTGCCGTCGGCGTTCCTTGTTTGTCGGCCGTACTCCGCGTACTTATCGGGACTTGTTTGTGTAGTGTATTAACTTCAGACGGTTAGACAACGCCCGTACCCACGACGCTGTCGTGCTCGGAAAGGAGGAGGAGAGAGAGAGAGAGTAGCAGCACGGCTGCTGCACTCAACAAAGGGGGTCCCGGTGCTTCATCACCGTACCCCTACCTTAAAGGTTCTACACCACCTGCGTCACACTTGTACGTACGGGTAATGTATCCACCATGTCCGTAGACCCACGAACACCCTCCCTAGTTCTTCACGCGAGTGACTTACCATCAGTGGGGCAAAAACATCCCGGATACATCAATAAAAAAACCATACGGTGGTGGAGGGGAAACCCGGCCCCCGGGCAAAACCCCTCCAAAGAAAACCGTATCCAACACAAAAACCATTGCTATCACGGCGGATGTACAACGGCCGCACTNCTGTCTCTTATACACATCTAGATGTGTATAAGAGACAGTGCCATGGGTACACAGACCGCGACAGTAATGCGACTTTCCCGCATGGTAAACATGGCCCTTCCCAAGTGCTAAAAACTGCTAGCTACTCCGGCAAATTCATCAACTTGCGCCGGTGGTACTGCAGACTGCTCTTGCTATGAGCCTTGGTAAGCACATCGGCATGCTGCTCCGACGTCGACACAAACTTGATCGAGATTTCCCCCGACCTAAACAATCCACGAATGAAGTGGTACCGCACGTCGATGTGCTTGCTACGCGCTGAGCTAAGGGGGTTCTGCACCAAAGCCATAGCCCCCTGATTGTCCTCAAGGACCTGAATGCTGCTGCCACTGGTCTCTGGGGCAATAAACGAAAGCACTGCACGCACAAACAAAGCTTCCTTCACACCCTCCCCGGCAGCAATGTACTCTGCCTCCGTAGACGACAAAGATACGATAGCTTGCGTCTTGCTACCGTGGCTGATGACGGTCCCTCCAACCGTTGTTGCCAGCCCTGACACCGAACGCCTATCCTCAGCGTCGGCGTAGCTAGCGTCCACGTACACCTCCAGCCCCAACCCCGATCCCCGTTTGTAGGTGATCCCGAGGTCCCTCGTCTCTTTGAGGTAGGCGAGGATCTTCACGATCGCCTTCCAGTGCCTCTCGGCAGGGGCATGGGCATGGCGCGCTACCGCACGCACGGCGAAGCAGATGTCCGGGCGCGTGAACGTCGACACCCACATCATGCTGCCGATGGCCTCCCTCACCGGCCGCTCCCCTCCACTCTCGTCATCCCGCTTCGGTCCTAT